TTTTAAGTACAGATAACCATATTTGCAAAAATCAAGTAACCTGGTACAACGACTGCATCTTCATCCGTAGTTGAAAAATTTATTCGATAAATTAAACAGCAGTACCAAATTACCAAAACGTATTAATGATTACACGTGCATTATTTCCCATTTCCATGTAAAGCTGTAAGATAACAGAAACTTAAACTACTTATTTGATGGCGCGGCCATGATCGGAATATTTCTTCTGCTCGAGATTTCCGCACCCGTCTTTGGTGCTTCCACACAAAGGTGGCCTTTGTCGCTGAGTTCAGTACGAACCGCTTCCAAATTCACATTTTCCGGTAGCGTCCACTTGCGCACAAATGATCTGTGAGAAATTATTTGAGCTGTCTTCTACAGTGAATTTACTACTCTAACCTGTGGATAAAGCTGTTATCGCCCTTGTGCTCCTGCTTCCCCTCCACGGTAAGTTCTCTGCCATCAAGGTGCACATTCAGCTCCTCAGGACGAAATTGAGAGACATCTAGCGACACCGCAAACTTCTTGTCATCATCGACCAGCTGTGATATACACAAGTAAGATAAGATCTCAAAGTTTTAGCAGACCGCCAACCTGTTGGGTCTCATTAGCCACATGAAGCACAGAATGATCAGCCTCTCTCCAGTACGGGTACATCATGCGATCAAAATCGTGCATGTATTCGCTCATCATACGATTCATCATGCGAGGCACTTGCCAGAGATCCATTGTCTAGAAAAAAATTTTCACTTCTGCTTTTTCTCTAATGACCCTAGTGACGAAAACGAAAATACGGCGAGGCGTAGCGATCTCACGTAGTTTTTTGAGGCCAAAGAAATAATTTTTCGGAAACAATTTGAAGTTTTATCAAGACCATGAACAACTCAAAATACGTACAAACCAGAGCAATCCATTGACACAACCTCAAGTCATGTAAAGATATTCAAGAACTTTGCAGCTTCTCACTTCCCTCCTTCTACCTACCATTTATAAAATGAGTGTCTGAGAATCAAACTTATGCATATGTTCATGAATTTTCGTGAAAAGATTGTATCTTTACAGATCTTTTTTTAGCGCACCCTGAGCGCTTATGATAAATAAAGAATAATCAAAAATATCTGTAACCTGCTAGGCTCAAGCGAAATTTCTTTATGTTTATGCTCAAATGGTACATTTTTCTCTCATTGTCGCTTGTTTGTAAGAAAATGAAAAATGGAAATCAGAAAGAGGAGCACAACTTGTGTTGTCAGTACCCTGAAGTGGTCTATTATTACTTATTCTTCTTCCTTCCCTTGTATTTCACTTACACTTTCTAAAAGAAGTTGAAGAACTCTACTTGCTCCACTTTTTTGTACTGGCACTATAAAATGAGTTGCACGGACACGCTTAGACACTTGCGTCAGCCTACTAGATTGAAATTTTCAGAACTGCAACTGCTCAGTGATGATAAAACTGCTCTTATCCAAACAGTGGCCCTCACTACCTACTAGA